TCATGTACCTTCTTGGACACGGAGTTCAACAACTCCTAGGCTAGCTGGCCAGTGAGTCCTACTTCTTTCCACATCTCCAGGGCCAGGATTACAAGTGCATACCACTATGAGCCTCTAATCATGCATGCTATCTCCCCAGACTACTGTGTCTTTTGTTTTTAGTCAGAAACTATGTTTTGAGCGTCTTTCCCCATCTCTTTCTCTGTTAGGTGTCATGTGGAACTCTCAGCCAGTATAGTTTCCCCAGACTTGACATTCCTTTATTAATGACCCAATCAAATTATGATTTATTGGTGGACAAAAGCGAACAAATTTTCAAATCTCACTGTATTTTCAGAGCACCACACAGCACATAGGTTGTGCATATCAATATTTTTATATCACTTTCATCTCTCCTGTTGTCCTTGGGTTTCATGTCTTGCCTCTTTCCGACATCCACTTCTCTTCGGCAGGGCACAGAACGGAGCAGAAATCATTTCTGTAAACATTAATATGCAAACATAAATACTTCCATGCAACCCACCTGAATACTAGATGAATATGAATTATCAACACGTGTAGAGACAAGTATCTTCTCTGCCAGTGTAATCCCCGTGTGTTTCCAAGTGTTTTCTAATAAATCCTTTTGTTCCTGAGTCTAAATTTATTTTCTTATAAGAAACCATCTGGAACAGGGAGGAAGAGCAATGCTCTCTTTTAGACACTTTGCTGTGAATCTCTGCCTTGCTATTTAATCAAAGTATCAGCTCCCAAATTCATTTTTTTTGTAGCTTCTAGCTTGGGTTTCAAAAAAAAAATGTTACTGTATTTACCACTAGGTGTATACATCTGAAGTAATAAACCGGAAGCCCAAGGGAAGGAGAGATGAGGGGACTTTCCCCATTACTCATGGTTATCCCCGCTGTTTATACTTGCTTCTAAACCTCCTTAACCTCTTTCTGTACCCCATCTCCATCCAGAAGAGCAGATCTTTGGTGAGGGGGGATCTGAGCCCAGGTGGCAGGGCTGCAGGAGATCAGAACAGTGCCCTTCAGTGGTGAAGCTGTTCTTGCGATGGATTAGCTAATGTGTGCAACAGAACATTTCTGACTCATGATTGATGTAAGTGACATGCACCATGGCTTGTTACTGTTGTCATGGTCACTATGAACAATATTATCATTTGACTTTGTGTCCTAAAGTGGCCGGTACCAATTTTAGGAAATGAGTAGAGCTTGGCACCAGGCTGAAAATATTGCCTCTTTATTGCGGAGATGTTTGATCAGCCACTGTAATTACCTGCAAATCCTACTTATGAAGAGCAAATCCAGCCTGTGCCCATGACATTTACAACCAGCTTATCTACATGATAATTAACATTCCCATGACATGCATGTGCACAGGCATCAAATTAGTCCATACAGACAGAGATGAGTCCTGTATTAGTCAGGGTTCTCCAGAGTCACAGAACTCAGGTAATGAATCTCTCTCTTCATCTATATCTATATCTATATCTATATCTATATATCTATATCTATATCTATATCTATATCTATATCTATATCATCTATATATCTATATGCATATATATGCGTGTATATGGAGATTTATTGGAATGCCTTACAGGCTGCTGTCCAACAATGGCTAGCTGTGAATGGGAAGTTCAAGAATCTAGTAGTTGCTCAGTTCTGCAAGGCTGGATGTCTCAGCTGGTCTTCTGTATATGCTTTTTTTCTCCCTTCCTTCCTTCCTTCCTTCCTTCCTTCCTTCCTTCCTTCCCTTTTTGAGACAGGATCTCACTATGTAGCTCTGGCTCGCCTTGAACTTGCTGTGTAGGCCAGGCTAGATTCATATGTATGGTAATTCTCCTGCCTTTGCCTCCTGAGTGTTAAGATCACAGACATGCCTACACCTGGCCCTTTTAGAGGATTCAAATATTCTCTCTGCTCCTAATTGCTGGCACATTATAATGCTAATTATTATTATTATTATTTTACCATAATTTCTTATACAGAACACAAGATTCTTTGCATTTCTCTCTACTCTTGAGGAATCATTCTTCACTGGAAAATATTCATTTTACTTATGTCTTATTTTTGTCATCAAATTAGAAAAAAGAAACACATGGGACTAAATGATGTATTTCTAAGGAAGCTGTGGAAAGTCTGAACAGAACGCATTGTGCGAACTGCGCTTCCCCTTCACGCATCAGGAACACAGACTTTGCCTGAGAGAAGGCAGAGTCTCATCAATATTTAACAGACAAGACTCTCAGCCTCAATTTGCATCTTTGAGAGATTAAGAATACCAGATAGTCTATACTGGGAAAAGCAGACCTAAGGTTTTGATTTACTACAGAGAAAGGCTTTCAATGGGTTTCTGTGCTCTGAGGATATTTGAGGATGATCTTCATGATGATGGACTCAACTTGTCTTATAAGTACACAGAATTATGACATACTCATCACTCTTTCTGCTCTTGTGACCAGATACTCAATAAGAAGTGATTTAAGAGAGGAAAGGCTTATTTTGACTCACAGTTTGAAGGGATACAGTCCAGTATGAAGAAGAAGGCATGGCAGGAGGTAGCCTCATGAGGTAGGAGTGTGTGGCTAGGAATCTCCACCTCCTCACATCTTGATGGAACAAGAGACAGAGAGTGGACAGGGAGATGAGCTGGCTTACCAAATCTGAAGGCCAGCTTCCAGGAACTCACTTTCTCCAAAGAGACTCTGTCTCCAGAAGGTTCCACAACATTCTGAAACAGCACCACCAACTAGGAACCAACTATTCAAACACACGAGCCTATGGGCGACACTGTGCATCCAAAGCCCGGCACACTGGTTAGCTAAGGAAGTGGAATGTGGCAGATGGCCCAGGTAAACAAAGAAAAGTGTGGTGCTCTGTCATGCTTTGGAGTTGAAGGTAGACATGTGTGTGGTGGAAGCAATGAGGGGTAAGTGGATGTCACTAAGCAGATTCTAGGTGCTTCTTTGCCCTGGACTGGAACACAAACCCTGTCAGGAGATGTGGCTGACTTGTGATCACAGCTCAATCAGTCCGAGGCTCAAAGCCACAGTACTAAAATACTGAGAAGATGGGATTATGCTCTTCTGGTATCTATGTGAATCTGTTCTTCAAGTCAGGTCTGCACCCCTGGGACACATGAGGCAGGAGAATGGAAAATACTATTTGGATGTGCCATGGTGGGCTGATTTTCTTTCTTTTGATTTAAGTGTGGACAAATATATAGCTGTCTATAGAGAATTATTTCAAGAAATAAAAATGACCATTTTGGGTAAACAAAATGTAGATACTCCTGTACTTATGAATGGGATTGTGTCTTGCTAAACTTAGTGTTAATGCAAAATGTATGTGCTATACCCAACCTGCCAACATCATAACCCTCAGAAAAGCACAGTAGAGTGTTGGGGAGGAAGTTCCCTGAGGATGATGTGCTGGGAGGTGTAGCTTGCTGTGCCTGCCCAACATCTCAAATGACTATGACACCATGTGTCTCTACTTTGGGAAAAGATCAAAACTCAAAGCATGGTTCTTACCAAATCGCTTCTCTCTCTCTTTGTTTTTTTTTTAATAATGAGGGTTGATTCTAGAATCTTATGTAGACACAGAAGGTGCTCTACCACTGAACTGTATCCCTGGCCTTCTGAGTCATATCTAACAAGAAGTTCCTGGACAGGTGTGGTGAACTCTGTGGCTGAACTATGTCATGAAAGCCCTGATTCTGCCTTTCCTTGGCTATCAGGACTGTCCTTGGCTGTCAGAACTGTCTTGCACTGTCAGAAGGGTGTGCATTTGTAGGTATTACAGCTAGATGCTACTACCAAAAGATAATACTACCAGAAGAGGGACTGTTTTTTTTCCACCTAAGAAAATATTGATCTGTGGGTGGTGACACATATCTATAACCCTGGTATGCAGGAAGCTGAGGCAGGGGGATCACCACAAGTTTAAGGTCACCCTCGTCTACCTAGTGATGACCAGACTAGCCAGGGCTACATAGTGAGATTCTATGTAAAGAAATAAATATATTTTTCTAGAGCTTTCTGCCATGCTCAGATTTCTCCCAAAGTCTCATTCATTGTAAACTGAGCAACATGTACCTCTAAACCAATCACGACTACGATTGTCTGAAGTTAATGAAGATCCACCCCGTGAAGAAGATGAGAGATGAATCCCCATGCAGAGGTGTAGGTCTGCTAATAAAAGAGAGGGTTAGACAGCCCACCCATAGGGTCTGCTATAGCCCGCATCTGCACACCTCTGATGTCAAGGACAGTCCCCTTAACCAGGAAGTGTGGCTTAAGGAGTAGAGCACAGAATGAGCAGTTGTCTTTCTAGGTTGATCTGAGTCCACGTTCTAGAATACAAATGTCCTCTGTTCTCCAATATTGTGTGCAAGCAAGTTAAATGACATGAGGATGCCCACCCCACAAGGAGTCTCTTTAGCCCCTAAGTGGTACTCATGGGCAATTCTGCTCTGTTCACAACTTTCTCCTACCCTCACTTCCTTCTCTCATCTGTCACTATGGCAGCCAACATCGTAAAAATTGACTAAAACAGTTCCCTCTTGTGTGCTGACATTCTTCTTTTGATGGAGATCACTGGACTTCCGAGATACATCTCTTGTATTGGTGTGAAGGTAAATCTCCACAATCATCTTGGCTGGATTTAGATGCATTTACACTCCTCTCCTGTGTCTACGAGTGTTGCTGGAGGGCTTCTCTCCAGGTTCCACCAAGCCCTGCAGTCCCACAATCCATGTATAAAATAATTACTTAGACACTTATATTACTTATAAACTGTATGGCCATGGCAGGCTTCTTGCTAACTGTTCTT